GTTTTGGAAAACACTATCGTGCCCTACAGCCTATTTACTTATTTGCTTTGCTTGTGCGTTTGTGTCATAGGTACATTAAGCCCCATCTATCCGTCCGTCCCCGTATGTATATGATCAGGTGTTTGAGGGAAGAGGGAAATTGAGCTTGAAAAGAGCGTCATTCGGAGATAGATTGATAGTGAAGGACTTCATTTGAGGCGTATAGTACATTTAATATGGTTAATCGATTTCTGATTGTGCACTAAATGTTATGTGGAAAGGGTCATGTCTAGAAGTGATAATAGTACAGAATTCCAGTCAAAAGTGTACTCAGTTATCTGATCAGAGCGGAAGATCTCGCCAAGTCAGTTCCCTACAGTCCTGGCGGCCAAGCGCTCTGTAGTCAACACTGTCTCGGTTGGTAGCCAAAGTGACGGCTGTTGTTGGCATAGTGAATGTTGCCTGGAAAAGCAAACGATAAGTGCCCCAACGGCAGTGTCAGATCGGGGATCATGTCAAGTCGCAGGCACCTAATCTGCTCCTGTGAAGGGAGGAGGAGATTTAGCCGACGCTGGAAGCCTCGACGCTTGGCTTTCATTTCAGGCATCCAGACTTAGCATGCGTCCTGTTGCGAAAAAATTTGATCCGATCCTCTGCCATCGGGGCCAGTAACGTAAAGGGAAAATTCGAGGCTCCGGGGTTCCCTTAATAATGTCGTCGTGTCAAGGAAAGATTTGTTTAATGTGAAAAGATGGCTGGACGGGATTTTTAGATTCTCCACTGAGGAGACCTTTCGTGAATTTTTTGTTTATAAGTAGGTATTTGGGACTAACAGTAGATAATTTATTTATGAAATGTATTCACTTTACTTTATTTAAGGTGTTAAATAGAGTGGTATTTGAATTTTCCCACAATGCTATGAGTATGATAGCGAAAGAAAATCGGTCGGAGTATTCCAATTTCTCGCGCTAAAAGTTACCAGTGAATATATAGTTTGTCTGGTTTGCTGAAACACTAACTACCAGAAATGGCAATATCTATTTAGGAAACAGGAATATCGAAGAAATTTTAA